ACCTCTGAGAGGCCAATTAATTAAGAGAAAAAAAACTTTTTTTTTTTTTTTCTCTTAATTAATTGGCCTCTCAGAGGTGGTAAGACAACTCCCCCCTGTTTATGCTCTCTGTATGTGTGTATATATATCTCCTCAATATATGTTCCATTCTATATGCATCCGAAGAAGTGGGCTGTAGTCCACGAAAGCTTATGCTCTAATAAATTTGTTAGTCTCTAAGGTGCCACAAGTCCTCCTGTTCTTCTTTTTGTAAAATTTAGCTATCCAGTAATCTGTGCCACTTTAAGATGCCACCAGACTCCTTGTTGTTTTTGTAGCTATCCAGTAAGGTATGTCAAGTAAAAATGAAATGGTTACGGTAATTTATTTGAGGTTTTCCAGAGAGAGAACTTTCCATGCTGGATAGTAGTATAGACATAATTCGCTGTTTGGGAGGTACTTTCTATATTCTGTCAAACTTTGTCCCTTTTAGATTTCAACATGATTAGGGTTTTATCGAGTAGGAAAATTAATGCACATCGTAATTTGAGTGAGATGATTTAAGATGTGCTTATATGTGTAGTTTAAAAACCCCCCACTCACAATACAAATATGTAATTATATTTAGTCGCTTGACTTATTCAGCATAATAGGTAGCAGTTGTCCTGCAGCCATGCAGATGGATCAAAAATGTGGTGGTGGGGGGGAGAGGATGACAAAAAGAACCTTTAATCTATAGTTCAGGTTGTAAATATGCACCAGTAATTTCAGGATGACCCCATCCTGGGAAAATTGCATCCGAGTCTTACATGACTTAATCAGGATCACCCAATGAGTGATTTAGTGGAGTGGTTCTCAATCAGAGGTCTAGGGGCCCTTGGTGGGGGCTGCAAACAGGTTTCAGAGGGTCTGCCAAGCAGAGCCGGCATTAGACTTGCTGTGGCTCAGGCAGAAAACTGAAGCCCCATTGCATGGGGCTGAGGCCCTGAGCCCTGCCACCCAGGCCTGAAGTCGAAGTCTGAGCAATTTAGCTTCCTGGGGTCCCCTGTGGCATGGGGCCCCCGGCAATTGCCCTTCTTGCTACACCATAATACTGGCCCTGGCTTTTATATGCAGAAAAAACAGTTATTGTGGCACGAATGGTCCATGGAGTTTTTATAGGGGAGGGGGGGGAAGGGCTCAGAAAGAAAAAAGGTTGAGAATCCCTGGTTTAGTGGGAATAGAACCCAGGAATTCCAAGTCTCCTGTCGTGGTCCCTAATGGAGATGCAGCTTACATTGGCATAAGGAGATATTTTGTTAATATAGTAAACCACTTCTAAGAATGACATAGGTTATATCAGCAAAGGGGCTGTTTTGCCAGTATAGCTGCCTGTTCAATGTGTACTGTGTGTTTTGTTTTTTCTATGTTGAAACAGGGGGCCAACAAAACTCTGTAGTGTACACCTGGCCCATGAGGGGCTTTTTTTTTTCTAACTGATGTAAGCTAAACCTGAAAAATTCTCATAATCCCTATCTGAATGTAATCCTGCCAGACAATCTCCTCTTGGTTTTTTTTTTTTTTTTTCCCCACAGTGCAATAATGCAGGTGTGCTGGCTAGTGAGGAAAGATAAATGCTGTCAGCGAATCAAACTGCCACACTTAAAAACAGTAGTGATAGGGCGTGGCCCAGAGACGGAGATAACAGACAAGAAGTGTTCACGGCAACAAGGTAAGTTACAGCTTCAGTTTACGTGCAACTGCTGGCTTGATGACAATCCAGCAGTTCCAAAAAAAGTGTAAGAAACCTGTGAGGTACAAGTATAGAAATTCTGTGATGGTGTCATGTCAGATTGTGAGATTCATTTCGGTTTCATTGTTCTTATGTTTGGTTACATTATTTTGATAGACTGTAAACTCTAAAGCCTAGCTGGGATTTAATCTTACATTTAAGGGATGGGCAGTTCAGATGGGAACTACAGCTTCTCTCTGAAAACCAAAGCAGGCATCTCTCTGGCTTGCTGTGTAATCATCAGTCATGGGGCTCCAATCCAGTGGGTCTTTTAGCCACAGAAGATCTCTGCTCTCTAGGTAGAGCTGCTTACCTATTATAGCTATTCTGTTTATAGGAGCTCGCAAAGGGCTGTATAATCTGACAGGCATGAGGGAACATGGCCTTTCTGTCACCAGGAGGAGTAGAAATTGATCTTTATAAAACAGTCATAGTCTGTTGAAAACCTGTAAACTCATATAGAGAAGAGTGTTCTGAGTTTGACATTCTCTCCAGGTTCCAGTGAATTTGATTTTTATATATTGTTCATGTTCCTAGAAGTACCAGTAGGTGCATTTCATATATTGAAAAGGAACTATATGCATTTTGTAGTAAGGGTAACAGTCTCTGTTAAATTCTATAGAACAATGGTTCTCAAACTAGGTCCGCCGTTTGCCGCTCCTGCAGCCCCCATTGGCCTGGAGTGGCGAATGCGGCCAGTGGGAGCTGCGATCGGCAGAACTTGCGGACGCGGCAGGTAAACAAACCGGCCCAGCCTGCCAGGGGCTTTCCCTGTACAAGCGGCGGACCTAGTTTGAGAACCACTGCTATAGAACTCTATAAAAGGTTCTGTAGCAAGGATGTGATTTAGTCATAGTTTACTTGGTATCATATCTTCTAGTACAACTATAAAATACCAAGTGGTGTGTCATAACTATAAAGGGAAGGGTAACAGCTGTCCTGTGTACAGTACTATAAAATCCCTCCTGGCCAGAGACTCCAAAATCCTTTTCCCTGTAAAGGGTTAAGAAGCTCAGGTAACCTGGCTGGCATCTGACCCAAAGGACCAATAAGGGGACCAGATACTTTCAAATCTTGGTGGGGGGAAGGCTTTTGTTTGTGCTCTTTGTTTTGGGAAGTTGTTCGCTCTTGGGACTGAGGGACCAGACATCAATCCAGGTTCTCCAAATCTCTCTGAACAAGTCTCTCGTATTTCAAACTTGTAAGTAAACAGCCAGGCAAGGCGTGTTAGTTTATCTTTGTTTTCTCAACTTGTAAATGTACCTTTTACTAGAGTGTTTATCTCTGTTTGCTGTACTTTGAACCTAAGGCTAGAGGGGGGTCCTCTGAGCTCTTTAAGTTTGATTATCCTGTAAAGTTATTTTCCATCCTGATTTTACAGAGATGATTTTTATCTTTTTCTTTAATTAAAAGCCTTCTTTTTAAGAACCTGATTGATTTTTCCTTGTTTTTAGATCCAAGGGGGTTGGATCTTGATCCACCAGGAGTTGGTGGGAGGAAGGAGGGGGGATGGTTAATTTCTCCTTGTTTTAAGATCCAAAGGGTTGGATCTGTATTCACCAGGGAATTGGTGAAGAGTTTCTCAAGGCTTCCCAGGGAAGGGAATTAGTTTTGGGAATGGTGGCAGCGGACCAGATCTAAGCTGGTAGTTAAGTTTAGAAGTTTTCATGCAGGCCCCCACATTTGTACCCTAAAGTTCAGAGTGGGGAAGCAGCCTTGACATGGTGCTAGCTGCAAATTTTTTAAAGAAGCTCTGTTGAATATGTTACAACAAAGCTTAGCTCTTTGAAAAATCTGTACAAGCTTATGAGAGTGGATGTTTGGGATGACTCCAATCTATTTCCTCCTTTGCTCAGGCACATCAGTCAGTTGCTTATGACTGGAATCATTATACAGGTGCGAGTCAAAAAGCCATATGGTTTATAAGCCACATATGACCTCTGGAACTTTAGAAAGGCCAGTGCTGGGAAACTTTATTTCATGTACATTAATACAAATCCCATTGATAAGGCAGGGCAGTCGTTAAATAGTGTCATTGTAATTTCTAGCAATCTGCTGTGTAGATGCTTGTAATTTTGTCTAGGGAGAAGAATATTAGCAACACCTGTTGACACAACTTTAATACAGAAATCTGGGATTTCAGAAAATGTGAACTCAAAACAAGGTCGGTGCTATGTTTGAGCTGCATACAGTTTTAATGTACCTGTCAAAGCTTCTAAATAGATGTGTTGACTCTCAGTATTATTTATTAATTGTAAATTAACTAAATAAACTGAACCAGTGAGTTCAATTAGGATTTATATTTCTATCTTCACCCATTTGATGAAAGCTAATAGGAACATACATTGTGGGCCAGATCCCCAGCTGAATTTGGCTTCAGTAGAGCTGTGTCAATTTACTCCAGCAGCCTGACTCCTATGTTTAGGTAATTCTCTGATGCTTTGTTTCTTTTCAGTGCAGCTAAAAGCGGACTGTAATAAAGGGTATGTCAAGATCAAACAGGTATGTTCATTTATGGATGTCCAGTATTAGGGTTGTCATTGTGCTTGTCGCTTTACAAAACATGGCAGATGACACAATCCCATCACAGAGCTTGCAATCTAAAATGTCCAGACACTGGAGAAGGGGTCAATCAGGGAGTTTAGTGGATAAGCTAGTCCCGTAATACTACTTCTGTATGCTGCAGTGGGAGGGCTGTTTCACTCCTTTTCCCTGCACTGGGCAACATCCTGGAAGGTGGCTAAGATTTACGTCTGGTCCAGATTTAAAATTTAGGTGGTTGTGGCTACGTCGCTTGGGGTGTGAAGAATCCACACCCCTGAGAGCTGTAGCTATGCCAACGTAACTGCTGGTGTAGATGCAGCTAGGTCAACAGAAGAATGCTTCCATCGACCTAGCTACTGTCGCTCAGGGAGACGGTGCTAATACAATGATGGGAAAAACCCCATCTGTCACTAAAGGGCTGTGTCTATGTTATGGCATTGCTATGGTGCTATAGTCCTGTAGTGTAGACATGGCCTAAGATTTCTGCTGCTGCTCGTGTTGCTTCCCCCCCCCCCCCCATTGCTGGGGCCTGGGGGTGGCCTCTCTCTGGGCTGTCTAGACTTGGAGAATAGGTAGTGTTTTAATTAACACAATTTTAAACGCTACTTAGCATGAAGGGTAGACAGGGTTTAACACCTTTACTAGGTTCCTCCCCCAGGGTTAGCAGATATATTTAATAAAACAACCTGTTTTCCTAGCCTTGACAAGGCCTCTGTTTGTTTGTCTGGGTTTCTGGGTGTGTTAATCATCTTGGGAGTTATCCTTGCAGTCCCGTCTAACACTTGACTGCTAGGGGTAGAGTTGAGATCAAAAAACTTATTTTATTCAGGCCATCTAATGGTAATTAACTTTGTCACAACTAATTTGTGTCCAAATTAGACTGATCACCTACCAGAGAGAGAGACTAGCTTTTCACAGAAATCGTTACACTACTGTACTACAAATACCGTACTCTGGATGCAGTGGCCTACTGGTCCAAAAAGCACCACTGCTGTCTCACTGAACTTGGTTAGAAACAAATCTTCCCTCCAAAGACCCCAGCTGCTTGATAAATGTTTTATACTTGGCTGCAAACTATATTCAGTGAAACCCCTAAGGGATCAGCAATTGCTGGTTGCCTAGTGAGTAAGCTTTAATTACAATTTGAATATAACTGTACAAGAAACATTGGGAACACGGTGACTGTATTCAGATAGGCAGTTGCCGCTGAAGATGGCACTTAGTGCAAGTTTCACTGTATACGAGGATTGCTTCTGGCCTGAAGGAAGTGCAGTGCTAGGGTGTCAGGGAATAGTCTTTAAACAGCACATGGTTCAGGATGGAAAGTGATGAAAATTTTATTCAGCTGAAAATTTAGGGCATTATAATTCAGCAGAATATCCTGGGATTCCAGCTGAAACTTGAGAAGGGCTAAAACCTCTACTCATGCAGACTGCCTGGGGCTCCAAGTCATAGTGCCATTGTGTGGACGTTGCAGCTCCCACACAACACTGCAGTGGGTGCTGAACCCGCCTACCCCTTTTGTCAGGGCTATTTTTAGTGAAAGTCAGGGACAGGTCATGGGCTTCTGTGAATTCGTATTTATTGCCTGTGACCTGTCCAAGACTTTTTTACTAAAAAATATCCATGACAAACTTAGCCTTAGTTATAACTGACTTAGAGAGGACAATGCTACCTCTAGAGCCACCAGCAGAGCTTCTGGAAGCACTTGAATTTTTAAAACACTTTTTTGGGGAAGAAATACACAAGGATTATATAGATTTGTAAATAGCTATGAAAGAAAAGGTAGGTCAAAGTTTCAGTTTAACTCACCTTGTGAGTGTACCTTTAATAGGGCAGCTGTGAAGAGCATTGCTGAGTTTGCTGATATATGCCAGCAATGCCCCTCTGCTATGTACGTTGACCAGACCGGACAGTCTATACACACAAGAATAAATGGACACAAATCTGACATCAGGAATTATTCAAAAACCAGTAGGAGAACATTTCAACCTCCCTGGTCACTCAATAACAGACTTAAAAGTGGCAATTCTTCAACAACAAAAACTTCAAAAACAAACTCCAACATGAAACTGCAGAACTGGAATTAATTTGCAAACTGGACACCATCAAATTAGGCCTGAATAAAGACTGGGAGTGGATGGGTCATTACAAAAACTAATTTTACCATACTAATTTCCCCCTACTGTTACTCATACCTTCTTGTCAACTGTTTGAAATGGGCCATCCTCATTACCACTACAAAAGTGATTTTTCCTCCCTTGGTATTCTACTGTTAATTGAATTGCCTCGTTAGACTGACCCCCCCACTTGGTAAGGCAAGTCCCATCTTTTCATGTACTATACACCTGCTACTGTATTTTCCACTCAATGCATTGGGTGAAGTGGGTTATAGCCCACGAAAGCTTATGCCCAAATAAATTGGTTAGTCTCTAAGGTGCCACAAGTACTCCTTGTTATATTTTTTCATTGTTTTTTTTATTTGAAATATTTGTAACATGGGGCCCAGTTCTGCCCATGGCATTACTCCTGTGTAACTGAGGGCAGCATTAGGCCTGTCGTAGTTGTTCTCACACATATTTGGAATGGCAATATCTTCTCACAGAGCTAGTCACCAATGAAATAAACCAGCTTATGCTAAGAATCTTCCAAAGATGCCATGCAGTTGGAGCACAGTAAAACAAATATCACTATAAAGGAGACTGATCAGAAAGTACAATTGTTTGGAACCAAGGTGCTGGTTTCTGATGCTGAATATTGGAGTCAGACTTGATGCAGCTGCTATTTATTTATTTTCCAAGCACCTAAAAGTATGCCAAAGGCCTTAAAACCCAGGTGAAGACACATCTCGATCCTGCAGCCAATATCGCTAACATGGACCCTGTACCCATGTGGAACTGACCTCATGGGGGTCATGGGTTCCGTGGCCGTGTGAGGTCACAGCCAGTACAATTAATGTGGACCCTGTACCAATGTGGGACCAGCTCCATTGAGGTTACAGGGGCTTCATGGCAAGGCAGGGTCACAACCAGCTCCACCAACCTGTACCCATGTAGGATCCCAGTGTGGCTGCATGCTTTGGTGGGGTCACAGCCAGTGCCACCAACCCAGACCCCAGTGGGGTGCAGGGCTTCATGGTGGTATGTGGTCCCAGCCAGCTCTGCTAACCCAGACGCTGTTCCCATGTGGGATCCCATTAGGCTCATTAGGGCTTCATGCTGGTGCAGGGTTTGTTCTAGCGGTTCTGATTGCAGGATGAGGCTCTAAATCTATACCTCCAACTCCAATTTTTGATTTGCATTAAAATGGGCCAGTATGTGGAGCGGGGCGGAGGAAATGCCATGTACTCTTCAGTCTCTGCGTTGCAGGGACAGGGGTGTCTTAGAACAGTTTGGAGTAGTTGGGTTTTAGTATATCTGAATTTAGGGTCTATACTTGTATGCCAATTCCTACATTGTGCTTTTTTCTGATTATCCAAAGATGGGAGTTAACCCAGCCAGTGTTGATTTAGTGGATATTGGGAAGGATGAAGAAGTGAAGCTGAAGCCAGGACAGGTTCTACATCTTGTGAATAAACTTTACCCCTATACTATACAATTCTTGGAAGTCACAGGGGTGTCTGGCGCACGAGCAGAAGGGAAGACAAAAGCAAACAAGAGGCCATACATAGACTCTGGGAATAGTAACATGGAAAACATGTCTGAAAAAAGTATGAAAATGGAGCAACCAGACTTGCAAGATGGTAGTTCAAGCTGCAAGCCAAACAATACCAGCAGTTCTTCCTCCTCTCCCCATGACAGCTCTTCCAGCCACAAGGTGAGCAGTAGAATACCCTGCCCTAGCACGCCCATCATTGCCAGCACTCGTGGAGCTGCACTGATGCTACGGCAATTGTGGGAGAACATCAAAAGCTCTTCCGTGTAGACTGAGCCTCAGTGTAGTCAGTCAAATCAGCTGACTGTAGAGCAGAAACCAGTTCTACTTGAGTGACTCCTGTTCGCATGGAAAACCCAGCATAGCTTTGGGGGAGGAAGCTGAATTCCCTTCTGGCTTGTACATCAGCCACGGAATTGCTAACTAAGGCTTCGATCCTGCAGTCTGATCTACATGGGCAGACCCCTACTGAAATCAGTGGGGCTTCACATGGGTGCACCCAGCTTCCTGCAGCAGACTGCGGGATCAGGACTTTGGTTCCAGCTGCAAAGAACCTTGTTGGTGGGTGATGGTGTGAGCCAGAAGAGCTCAGCTTGACTCTGATTTTATGGTGGATTTGCGGGGTTGGCAGCTAGGAAATCCATTGTTTCTCTTGGAAATAGAGGAGATTTGACCTGGAAATAGCGAGTGGGAGCCAATGAAACCCCTTGATCTTTTCCCAGTCACTTTTCAGAGTAGCACATTTAAATTAAGCATCCATCACATACCAAAAAACTATGTTAAAAGAATGGGAGTTTGTCCCTGCCTCTGCCCTCTCACTGAAACCAAACTTTCCAGAGGTCGCCACTAACTCTGTGTTCCTCGTTTTCTGGGTGCCATACTTGGGGCCTGTTTTTTTTTCCCCCACAAGACCTAAGCACTTCTACTGGCAGGAGCACAGGGCTGGGAGACAGGGAGTCCTGTGTTCTTCTAATCCTGGCTTTGATACTCATTCACTGTGTGGCCTTGGGCTACTCACTTTGCCTTTGTTTCAGTTTCTCCATCCATAAAATAGACACAGTGGTTCTCAAACTGTGGATTGGGACCCCAAAGTGGGTCCTGAACTAATTTTAATGGGGTCACCAGGTCTGGCATTAGACTTGCTGAAGCCTGCGCCCCACCGCCTGGGGCAGCTAAGCTTGGGCTTTGTCCCCCTGCCCAGGGCAGTGGGACTCTGGTGGGCTCAGGCTTCTGTCACCCATCCTGGGGTCGTGTAGTAACTTTTGTTGTAAGAAGGGGGTTGTGATGCAATTAAGTTTGAGAACCTCTGAAAGAGCAGTAATGCTTACACACTTGCCTCATGAGGGGGTTATGAGGGTTAACTTGATATCTGTGCCATGTTTTGAATATATACAGTGCTATAAAATGCTACATATTCGGAAAAAAATCAGGCCCAAGTGTCTCAAACCGGGCACCCAGTCATTGAGCGACCCAAAGTTAGTAGAGGTTTTTGCTAACATTGGCGTAATCTCTCAGTGCCTGAGCACCGTCTGTTTAAAAAAACACAACTCACCCACCCTAGCCCATATTGTTGTTGAAGCTACATATTAATGTGTGTGAGGTTAAGATGTTATGGTAATGGGTGCAATAGAAATGAAATTAAAGTGTTTCATTCAGTAGAGGGTTTGAATGGTGACATAGAGCAAGGCTGAGGCCATCCACTGAATGACAAATACACAAAGAAATATTAATGGCTGCCTTGTTCCCAGAGCACCATCTATCCTGTGCATTGAATGTTGCAGAGTCCTGTAGAAAAATGGCCTGTGATCATGTAATTAAGGGCTGTGTCATAATGCAGATGTATAAGAGGGCCAAACTAAACTTGCCTGGGTAACTAATTCTGGAATTTCCCAACTGAAAATGTTTTACTTTGCAAACTTTACTTAAAAAAAAGGTTTAAAAGAAATATTTCCTCATTTTTTAAAAAAGAAAATACAAATACATACCTGTGTTAAAATGGTATCAGCAAAGCAATATTGGAGTTATAATAAAAATTATTTAATTGAAGACTTCGGATTCTGCTTAAATATCATTAGATTTTTTTTTTATTTCTTCTGAAAGTGCCTATTCTATTTATACTCTAGGAACATTTAGGACATTGGAGTCAAGGTCTGAAGATCTCTATGCAAGACCCAAAAATGCAGGTGGGAATGATCCACACTATACTTGGAATAATTTACCAATCCACATTCCATGAGCATTCCATTCAGAATGCTGTTGAGCCAACTGCATGTTACAGTACATGCACATTTGGTAATTTTATGTATATCAACCTGTTTTCTAGATGCATTAGTCCTTTTCCATCAGGCCAGCAGGAGACCTCTATAACCTTGGAGAGCCATTGTTAATATGATGCTCCCCAATTGCTTTTCTTAACACCTGTGGTTAAGGAGAGGTAGATTCTGTGACCCAATTAACAAAAGAGCGTGTGGGTGGAATTTCATGGAATCCAAGAACGCTGTGACAGTCATGTCCTCTAGCACTAGAGTTTCCTCTGTTATGGTCACTTGGTTTCATTTATAGCTTTGTGCATAAAGCATGTATCACTTGCTTCAACATCTGGATCCAAAAAAATAAATCTGAAATGCAATCACAATACCATGCTTAGAGCAGGCACTTATGAGACCCAGGGACTAATTAGGAGAGGTCATTGGGCTGTTAGGTTGACCAGTTGTGTCCCCTGGGTCCTCCAAGGTTCTGGACCCACATTGGCTGGTGAAGAAATGAGACACTGTATTAGTGCCGTAAACTTTATTAAAACACAAAAACTAACAAAAATAAAACCAAGAAAGCTTAGCTTCGGTGATAGGTTATCATCAGTAATATTAAACTAAACTAGAAATAAAGCATTATCACTATCCAATCAAAATCAGATCAAGACTAAACCAAATTAGTCTAAATATTAAATTAGAGTTAACTAATCAAATTAGCACCAAAAATAATCAGACTTTATAGTCTAAAAAGGTGGATCTTGTTTTTGTTATAAATCAAAATCCAATCAAATTGATAATTGGAGTGTTTAAGTATCATAATACTGAACCTGTTGCCTAATGTCTGAACCAGTGTCTCTTCAAACTTCAACTCTTATGTGGTGGTGGCTACCCTCCCTCCCTCCCCCCACCTCCCGAGATATTATCATGCAGACTATAGCAGAGTGCTTTTGATAAGCAGAAGTTTGACTATTCTTATTAGCTGAAACAACAGATGATGATCTTGAGTCTCAAGACTTTGTCACAGATCACACTTTGAGTAATTACACAATAAGTAATTTTATGAGATGGAGACTGGAATCTCCATCTTGATGGAGGAAAATTACTCTAGCAAGATGAAACCTAGGTAGCCCCCTGGCCTCTAGGTGTGCAAGAGGGTGAAGATCCAGTTTTCTGAGCCCATTCATAGACAAGAATTTGCTCACATCCCAGCCAACCATAAACAAATGCCTGAGTGGGTGAATAGTTGGACTTTGCACTAGGTCCTGAAGTTCAACCATCTTGGGAACGCCAGCAAGGTGGGTGCGATCAGGTGAAAGACAATCTTGGTGGAAGGTCCTTGGAAGACAGTGGCTTCCTGCTCCTTCTGAGACCTTCCCAGCTGAATTACCTGGAGTTGCCCCTACCATTAGACCAGGGAAGGAAAGGGCTGGCTGGCACTGACTAGTGCCTTTCGGCTAAAAGGAGTTGCAGGTGGGTGTTTCCCAAAATATTATGGAATACAGCATAGGAGAGCGCTGCTAGGATCATAGCTGCTTTAGTTTGGACTCACTTATTCTAGTATTTCGCCCTCTTGACATCACATAAATTTCCCCTCACTTTGCTGTTCTCAGCCAGAGGAAGATTTGCCAAACAGACTTGGATTTTGACCCCCTTCGGTTATATGATTCTACTGCATCAAGAGAATGAGTTCTAGCAGAAGCCTGGATAGTTTGTTCGTGGATCGCTTACCTCACAAATGCAAGTCTTTCTCCATATGGAAGAAAACAGCTATTTCAGTGCTGATTCATACCCTAAGCAAGTGGCTGAGAATATTGTGTTGATAATCAGGATACCTTACCCAGAAAAGGATAAAGCGTTGTTAAAACTGCTACACAATTAAACAGCTAATTGTTGTTTGAGGTTTTACATCAGATTATTGCTGGTTCACTTGCTTTGTAACCACAATTAAAACCACTTAACTTTTTTATTAAATTCAGCCCATATCTATGCTACTAACTCAAGTTATGTCGACATACAGCCGCCGCAGTCAGTACATCATTTGTGCGTGTGCATACTTGGCTCCTTGCGTTCATAGGCACCAACTTCCCTTCTGCCCCATGTGCGCTTGACCCCTGGCCCCACCCTCGCTCCACCCCCTTTCCCCAAGTCCCTGTCCCGCCTCGTTACCGCCTCCTCCCCGGAGCGTGCCGCGTCCCCACTCTTCCCCCCCCCCCCCCGGAAAGTCCTAAGCGCCACCAAACAGCTGTTTGGCGGCGGGCAGGAAGCCCTGGGAGGGGGAGAAGCAGGGATGCGGTGCACTCGGGGGAGGAGGTGGGGGTGGAGCACCCGCTAATTTTCCCCGTGGGTGCTCCAGCCGTGCAGCACCCATGGAGTCGCCGCCTATGCTTGTGTTAATGGTGCGTATACTCACCAGGAGCACTTGTATCGATGCAGGATGAGGTGCACTATGGGTGAGTATCCCACTGTGCAACTTGCCACCGTCCAGTGCACTGTCTTTTGGCAATGCATGATGGGGCCAAAGCAAGTCAATTGGGATGACTGGAAGCATGGGGTCAACTTTTCAGTTTGCAGCTGTCTCCATCCCTTAATGTGATCTATATCCCATGATTTTTGCGCCTTTTTTTTCAAAATCCCACAAACCCATGTGACATGGAGTCTGCGTAGCTCTGCACTACTGTCATGACTGTTGCAAGAACAGGGTGCAACATCCTGCAGTATTTGCAAAGCTGAAAGAAGAGATGCGGGGAACATGATGATTCCTTGGAGGACAGATTGCTGTGGGACATAGCAAGACCTGATTCAAGGTGGTGGTTGGTGGTCACGGAGCAGCTGCAAGATGGTGGAGCGCTGGTTCTGGGCCTCAAAAACAAGCACTAACTGGTGGGATCACATTATTATGTAGGTTTGGGATGATGAGCAATAGCTGCAGAACTTGTACAAGGCCACATTCTGGATATGTGTGCCAAACTTGTCCTAGTCCTCCAGTGCAGGGACACCAAAATGAAAGCTGCACCAACAGTGGAGAAACGAGTGGCGATCGCACTGTGGAAACTTGCAACGCTGGATTGCTTCCAATCAACTGGGAATCCATTTGAAGTCAGGAAATCTACTGCAGGGGCTGTTGTCATGCAAGTGTGCAGGGCCATTAATCGCCTTCTACTATGTAGGACTGACTCTCTGCAACGTGCAAGACATAGTGGATGAATTTGCAGCTGTGGGGTTCCCGAATTGCTGTGGAGCAATAGACGGCACTAGCCCACCTTGCCACAGAGTACATTAACAGAAAGAGCCTACTTTTCTATGGTTATGTAAGTGCTGATGGATCACTGGGGATGCTTCATCTACATCAGTGTGGTGGACTGGTCACAGAAGGTGCATGACACTCACCTCTTTAAGGACCCAGGACTGTTCCGAAAGCTGCAAGCAAGGACTTTCCTTCCCAACAGGTAGATTACCATTGGTGGTGATGAAATGCTGATAGTGATCCTGAGCAACTCAGCCTACCCCTTCTTCCCATGGTTCACGAAGCCGTACAATGGACACCTTGACAGCACCAAGGAGCACTTCAACTACTGGCTCAGGAGGTGCAGAAAGACAGTCAAATGTGCTTTTGGTCATTTGAAGGGTTGCTGGCGTTGTTTACTCACAAGATTGGACCTCAATGAGAAAAATATCTCAATGGTCATAACTGCCTGCAGTGTCCTGCATAATATCTGTGAAGCAAAGAGTGAAAACTTTCCGTGGGGTGGAGGGCAGAGGTGGAGCATCTGTCTGCTGAATCTGAACAGCCAGATACAAGGCCATTAAAAGAGCTCAACGTGGAGCTGTACAGTTCAGGGAAGCTATGAAAGAGCATTGTAACTGTGAGGCAGAGTAGTGTACAGTATAGTCGTGTGCTCCACCTGGCTCTGCTCTTTTGCAGCCCACTATGAATCATGTGGTAAATTCTGTTGTGTATATACAGGAATATAACATTGTTAATGCATCCTTTGATTTTGTTTGTGAATGATCTTCTGCACAGTAACAAGTAATTGGACGCTTTCAGAACTGCTGAGTGCCAGCCACTATATGTTGAGAACTAATAAAGAAGAATTTTGTTCTGAGTAATAGAATTTTATTCTGTAACAAAATCTGCTTTGGTTCAGGACAGCGTTTAAGACTTTGCTGTCTGGACAGGCTGCTGAATAAAGGACCAGCAGCCTGACTTCTCCAAGGCTATGTCATCCACAGCTTAGTTCTCAGTGGTAGCAGATGACAGAACAAGGAGTAATGGTCTCAAGTTACAGTGGGGGAGGTTTAAGTTGGATATTAGGAAAAACTTTTTCACTAGGAGGTTGGTGAAGCACTGGAATGGGTTACGTAGGGAGGTGGTGGAATCTCAATCCTTAGAGGTTTTTAAGGTAAGGCTTGACAAAGACCTGGCTGGGATGATTTAGTTGGGGATTGGTCCTGCTTTGAGCAGGGGATTGGACTAGATGACTTCCTGAGGTCTCTTCCAACCCTAATATTCTATGATTCTGACTGATTGGACTGTGCTGGAGTTAAAAACAGGTCCTGGCTTGCTGCGTAGCTGGATCCCCTGGTTGTCTGTCTCCCATCCTCCTTTTCCTCACAGTTCATGGCAGGGGCCTGTGACTTTGGCTTCTCGGATGAATCCATGGTGCTGTTTGGGAGTGGTGGAGTCTCCACTGAATAGGGCATTCAGCTCTTTGTAAAAGCGGCAGGTCTGTAGCTTGGCACCAACTTGATTGTTGAAGGCCTTTCTGGCCTTCTGATGTGCCTGCCGCAGCAACTTGGCTTTCACACAACACTGCTGGTCCCTGTTGTAGCCCTTCTGCATCCCCTGAGAAATCTGCTTGTAAATAGCCACGTTTCTAGGGCAGGTTCTGAGCTGTGCCCTGCACAGCCTCCTTTCCCCACAGGCCCAGGAG